CAATAAGAACAGACACAAACAGCAGGCATGAACAGAGAAAACATTCAAAAAGGACAAGCGACTTTGACAAAAACACTTTGCTTTCATCGAAAAATCCTTATCATAGTGTTTCTGGTTGAAAGTCTAGGCACACATACAGTAGCTGTTGGATCTTCAGAAAGTGTACGTTTATATACAGCGGCCCCCAAAAGTATGTATACTTCAAGGGATAGTTCACCCAAAAATAAAAATGTAGTATTTGCCCATTTTTTTCCAGTTCTTTTTCTCCATAAAATTGTTCTTTTATGTCTTATGATTTTCTAATGATAGTCCAAAATAAAACTTAATTCATAATTGTATGGAGAAAAATATACACTGACTTTCAACAACATGGCTGCGTCCGAAACCGCATACTACCATACTATATAGTACGCTAAAATCAGTATGCGAGCCGAGTAGTATGTCCGAATTCATAGAATTCGAAAATCAGGCGAGAAGTATCCAGATGACTTACTACTTCCGGCGAGATTCTGAAGTGCGCATCCCATGCATGCTGCGCTATCCCATAATGCCCCGTAAGAGAAATCATGAATGGAAGTGAGGCGACGCAACTGACGCAGGTAGGTCATGTGACCATGACAAAATGGCGGATTTAGTACGTCCGAATTCCATTCATACTTTTCACATTCATACTGTATAAAACATACTTTTCTAACGGCCGAGTAGTACGTTTAAATTCAAATGCAGTACCTACTGAGTAGTAGGCGGTTTCGGACGCAGCCCATGACTTCAAAAAAAAATTATATTTTTAAAGACATGAGGCTGAATAAATGAAACATTTTCCAATTTTTAGGTGAACTATCCATTAAAGTCACACTTAAACATGTGAATGTTATTGCAGTACTTGAAAAAAATCGAATCAATGAGTGTTATTTTAGACAAAGATCATACAAGCACAGTTTCTAAAAAAAAATAAAAAAATGTTAATGTTTACATTTGTACAACTTTTAAGGCCTGGGTATACTTCTCAGCACAGGCTGCTTGCTGATATCCACAGACACCGTCACAAAATGAGGCTAGATGAAGTATATGTTGAGCTTTATGCATTGTGTACACTCCACTAATCCTAAAAATTGAAGCAAATGAATCCAAAATATTTTGATCGCCCCCTGGTGTCTGGCTGCAATAAACGACTTAAACCCCATGTAAATGAATGAATGAGATGTGAGCCAATTTTACAATTTAGGCTGTTCACAATGATCAATGTTCAAATGTTTTTTTCTTTAAAGTTTGCTTTTAGATAGCGATTTGATGGAATATGGAATAAATTGGGTTGTTTCTTTTGAAAGTAATGCACTACAATATTGAGTTACTCCCCAAAAAAGTAACTATAGTTGCGTTACTTAGTTACATTTTATGGCAAGTAATGCATTAAGTTACTTTTGAGTTACTTTTTTATTACTTTTTATTACCTGACTGAGGCTTGATCTCTTTCAGAACTTACACCTACACCTTCATTTACCTTTCAAGAGTTCACACATGGTTGATGATTAATTATAAAGTGAGTTTGGCATGCTGTCCCGGGAGGGAGTCCTGAGCTCATCCTCGAGCCTGTGGCTCTCTTTCATTTGCAGGGGAGTTTGAGCTCAGGTAGACTCACTCCCCTTTTTTAGGGCTGATGACAGATTATAAACTGCTATTCAGTAACATACTGCTGGTTAAGAGCTTGACTATGGTGCTAATTTAGAATGATCAATTCACATAAGACATATGTTTTTGGACTATGGGAGGAAACCGGAGAACCCCAGGAAAACCCACGTAAGCACGGGGAGAACATGTCAACTCAGAAACAACAACTGGCCTGTTAAGGATTTGAACCAGTGACATTCTTGCTGTGAGGCTACAGTGCTAATCACTAAACCCCCATATAAAGGGAAAGGTGGAGGAGTAAGTGTGGAAGTCAGATTCTTCAAGGCGAAGATAACTAAAGTAAGAATCTCTGCCAACTGACCCAGCCGAGGCTTGAACCAGCGACTGTCTTGCTGTGAGGTGACAGCACTACCTACTGCGCCACTGCGTCGCCCACCTTTAAAAAAAAACATGTCAAACAAAAATATTTTAGCATAATGTTATCTGAGAACTTCCTGACCCCATAGCTACATGCTGTATATGCAGATTATTGAAAGTTTTCTGCAATGTGTTAGCTTTTTTTGTATTATTTGCCTTTTCTTTGATACGCATTCTCTTATTGACTGTATGATTTACTGTGACTACTTTAATTTAAAGCTAATTAATTAAACTAAAAAGTAGCTCTCGTTACATTTTCAAAAAAGTAACACAAATATTATTACTTTTTTTTAAGTAACCCGTTTTTAGTTAAAAAAGTAATATTATTACATAACTCACGTTACTTGTAATCTACAAGAGTTTGGGCAGGACTTTGATATACATTTGTCATACATGTCACCAAATGGTGTCATCGGTGCAGTATGACAGAAGCCATTACTGTAATGCTGAGATCACACCACACATGGAGCACTGCATCACTTTCTCTAGTTTACTCACAGGATGTTTTTCCGCTCAAGCAGATATTTTGTTTAAGGGATTTAGGCAAATTCTGCCCAACTTCTGATGCATTTCGAGTTATATGCCTTGAGTTATTATCACAAATTTGTGTGTAATTTACTTGTGTAAATACTTAATCCCACATTTGCTGTAAACTCAACATAACAATTTCAGTGCAGATAATCTCTATGATACGTAACATACAGTAAATCAGGGGTCACTAATCTCTGTCCTGGAGGTCCGGTGTCCTGCAGAGTTTAGCTCAAACCCAATCAAACACACCTCAACAAGCTAATAAAGGTCTTAGAAGGTATAGACCATTTCAATGTGGTGGCCAATGAACATTTCCTGCTTGTTATTAAACTGATTCATAACTGTAACAAGAGGCGATTCAATCATAACCTATTGTTGAATCAGCTATTATAAAATTATTTATCAACGTGTGGATCTTTTTGGATTCTCTGAAGCTATAGAAATTAAAAACGTAAAACAGGAAATATACTGAGACTGTTGTTTCTGTTTACATCTCTTTAAACGGTCTATAATGGAAACTTAAAGGAAGTTAGAGCTAAACTCTGCAAGAACCCTGGCCCTCCAGTAGCAAGACTGGTGACCGCAACAGTAAATGGTCATATCCAGTGTAGACAGCACTAGTGAAACACGGTTATAACTACTGTGAATTAAACATGAGGTTACTTTACAATCATCTAAGCTCAAATTATACTTCAATTTTATAGGTAGATTGGGGTACACATGCAGTGTGTATGACTGAAAATTCAGCATCAGCATAGTACATGAATAATCAAATTAGGCGGAACTCACACATGTACACATTTTTTAAAATTAGTTAGTTTGTCCATGAAGGTGGCAACAGTGTCTGGTCTGTTAAAAAAACAATGGAGAGACATGACATTAACAACAAACAAACTACAAGAAATGTGTCAATGAGGGGATTAAGAGACACACAATTCTTGCTTTAATGCCTTCAATTACATCATTATCAGTCATAACTTCTGGAAAGAAATAGCACAGACACTGGACAAGAAAATACTTTCTACAGTGCCTATGGTCAAGTGCCTGTGTTCATGCACACTATGAGACATTCAGCGCGTAAGCATTCCCGTCAAAACGGAAATACATTTTGGACTTTAAAAGTGACTGACAAAATGGCTCACAAAACAAACTCGAATTTTTTTTTCACAAAAGCTCTATCAGCATTTGCAGATGATACCTGGTTTAATATTTTGCTAATATCAGTTAAATTTATAAGAGTTTTAAGTGTGGTGTTCACCCCATATAGAAGTCTGACATATGGAAATATATGCAAACTACATACACTACCTGACATAAGTCTTGTTGTCAATCTCAATTGTAAGAGCAGCTAATAATAACTTGACTTCTAATTGATCATTTGGGAAAGTGGCAGAAGGCAGATTTTTCTGAAGAATCGTCTGTTGAACTGCCTCCAAACCATCACAAATACTGCAGAAGAGCTGCTGAAACTCGCAAGGACCCAAGACTGTCACAGGAATCAGTCAAGTTTGGTAAAGGAAAAATCATGGTTTGGGTAGACATTCAGTATCGGGGCATGCAAGAGATCTGCAGAATAGATGGCAACATCAGCAGCCTGAGGTATCAAGACATTTGTGCTGCCCATTACATTACAAACCACAGGAGAAGGCAACCTCTTCAACAGGATAGTGCTCCTTCTCATACTTCAGCCTCCACATCAAAGTTTCTAAAAGCAAAGAAGGTCAAGGTGCTCCAGGATTGGCCAGCCCAATCACCAGACATGAACATTATTGAGCATATCTGGGGGAAGATGAAGGAGGAGGCATTGAAGATGAATCCAAATAATGTTGATAGGAGTCCAACAAGAAGGCTTTATTTGCCATTCCAGATGACTTTATTAATAAGTTATTTGAGTCATTGCAGAGATGTATGGATGCAGTCTTCCAAACTCATGAGAGTCAGACACAATATTAATTCTTTTCCCACTGCACCATGACTTTATATTCTATACTTTACATTATTTCTGTTAAGTGACCAGACTTTTGTTTAAGCAAAGTCAGACTTTACTGTCCTAATTAAATCATTAAAAATCAAGGCATGATCATATTTTATTTTGGTAAAATAAGTGTAATCTAGAGGCCTTTGCCTTTCATATAAGCCACTTATATCACTGATACCAAATGATCAACTACAAGTCAAGTTATTATTTGTTGTTCCTAAAACTTGAATAGGCGACAAGACTTTTGTCAGGTAGTGTATATGACATAAGATTTCATATTTAGATTTTACATAAATAAAAATAAGTCATATATGCAACATATATTTAAAAAAATTGCAAAAATAGCTGCCTTTATATATTTTTCCCCCAACAACTGAGATTATAAATATGTACATATATGTTCAAATACATTATATATAATTAAACATATATTTATATAGAATAACAACTAATATATCTGAACGTATAGTAACATATTTGTTATACAAATGATTGAGAAAAAAATAGCCAATATTTTGGCGATATTTTGGAATATTCGCTGCATATATGACATATATAGGTAAAATCCAAGTATGAAATTTTATGTCATTTGCATATATTGACATATATCAGATTTCTATGTGGGACTTTTCGGGGCTGCTGTATGTTGCAATGGCATTAAGCTTCACTTTTTAACACTGAGAATGGTCATCTGAAGGCATTCGTCTTTGAGCACTTCAATATCATTTTTATAGGCATTCGTTTTGACCTCGCTGTAGAAATCAGGCTTCTTCACTGCCAGAGGTGTCTCCACTGTGATGGATGCTCCCATGAGAGTTTCTGGGCTTTTGCCCCGTTGGAAGAGTCCCAAGAGGGTAGCAAGGGCTCGACCCACATCATGACGGGCCCCTTCGTTGACAAAACAGTAGAGGATGGGGTCCGCCACACAGTTGAGGCTGGTGAGCGCTAGAGTCACATGATAAGCACCAAACAAGTTTTCCTCGCCACCACAGTCGCAGGGGTTGATGAGAAAGAGCACACTGCGCCACAACAAGAGGACGTGGTAGGGAGCGAAGCACAGGAGGACGATGAGGATCAAACTGAGGGCCAGCCTCTTAATCTTGGCCTTTTCCTGTCGCTCTGTGGAAACGTTACCACGTACGGCTCTTAGGATGCCTCTGTACGCGGCCAGCATTATGCCCCAAGGTGCTAGGAAGCCAAGGAAAGTGCGGTAAAGGTTCATTCCAGCAACCCAGGGCTCCATAGGATACTTCTCGAAGCAGAAGGTGTGGTTGAATCGGTCCTGGAAGAGTTCGTCATGGAACAGAGGCGCAGAGTTAGCAACGATTTCGGTTAACCACACAATGGCGCTGACCAGTAAAGCTGTTTTGACCCTACGGACTTTAGCAAATTTTAGGGGATGAGCTACCGCCAAATAACGATCCACAGATATGCAGCAGAGGAAGGCGATACTGACGTAGATGTTAGTGTAGAAGATGAAACCAAAAAGTTTGCAGGACACCTGACCATGGATCCAGTTATCATGGTGGACAAAATAGTCTATCCAAAGTGGTAAAGTGGTAATATACAAGAGGTCTGCTATCGAGAGGTTCATCAAGTAGATCCCCAACTCATTCTTCTGCTTTACCTGCATGTAAGCAGCCCACAGGGCCATGCAATTGGTAGGGAAGCCAAGGACGATGACAATAATATACAGCGTAGGCTGGAAGAACTGGTCTATGTTTGAGTCAACATTGCATGAGGTTGTGATGTTGCACATGGTCTCACTTCCTCTGAGACTTGCCATCAGTAATCATCAGCAATGGCTGAGGTGTCTTTGGTCCCAACTCAAGCCATGTTTAAAAAGGAGAAAAAAGTCAAGAGGTTTCTGTTGAACTTTCATGTATCGTACTGTGACGATAACACTGTAGCCCACTACAGTCGAGCATGGTGGGCCTGATGTGTCACATGTCTCTACTGCATTTCATGGCTGGTTTTTTAACCTTTCAGAGAGCTCAGAGATCAAAGACATGCCAACAAGACAACAAGTCATTAATGCTAGTCAAACAATCACCATGGAGCAGTTTCAGGTAGGGTCAGGGTTATTTTTAGAAGTCGAAACTGGTCAACACCATCTCTGAAGATCACACAATGACTAATCTTCTTTGGTCTGTCCAACAACACCCATCTGCAAAAGAGAATAACATGAGTTGAAGGCTTTATGAAATACTCACTGCAGTGTTTGAAATTGTTCCCAAATGTCTTTTCCAGGGCAGTGATGTGTATTTGTTAGATTGGCTCTGTGATGCATTGATTGTATGTTTTTCTCTTCCCACCCCTAACCTTGGTCATCCTCGTATTTGCATCTGTTTATTTGGAGTTTGATTGAATTAACAGTCATTACAATGCTTCATCTTGTTCTCCAAGGTTTATATCTGCTGGAACAGAATCTCTAGTCTGAGGTTTCTCTCTGAACAAGCGTTTGTGCAAGACTTAGCATGTCAAAGATATGTTTTCTTTCCATAGATCAAGCAGATTATATGTAGCTGTACATGAGGAAATATGATATAGAATAAACAGAGCATAATATTGTGGCTGGAAAGTTGACCTATGCTTATTGCACATACAAGCCTCGGTTACTAAACCTGTCAGATTAACACAGCATTCCTTATATACACACTTTCAGACGTTAAATGAATATGTTTATCTAATAATGCAGTATTAGTTTAACTTAAAAAAATTTATAATTTTATATTTCTCATTTAAAATGCCTTTGATACTATTCATTTTCAAACAAATCAAAAATGATACAAATTCCTTCCACTTTGGATTTCTAGTAGGGCTGGGCAATATGGTAAAACTGCAATCTCGATAATTATTTTCCATATTGAACGATAACGATATATATTTTAATAAAAGTTAATGCACATCAGCGCTTTCTGTTTGTCCTGCTAAACCTGAACAGACCTCAGTCGGTTTTATCTGTTCCTTTAGATTTAAGCCTTATAATCACAAAATTAGATCTTTAATCTTAATAGAAATCTTACGTCTATATCATATGTTGATTTTTACTGGAACAATATCTTTAATAATGTTAACTGGACACAAGTATGGTCATTAGCTCAATTTTTTTATTACAAAGGCTAAATCAATATAATTTAAATTACTTCATAGTTTATTCATAAAAATATTTCTACAAAAATTTTAAATTGATATGGAGTTAGAATGCTGTTTTTGTGAAAGCTTTAATGAAAGTATTTCACATTTATTTCGGTCTTGCCAATATACTTGACTTTTTTGGATTAATGTTGAAGCTTTTATTGCTCATAATATTAAAATCTTATTCCTCATCTTATAAACATGTGATTTGGGGTTATTAAGTTAAGGGTTGCTCTTTTAAAGATGCTGGTTTTATTATAAACTTTATTTTATTATTATATAAATTTCACATGCATAAATCCAAGTTTGCCAAAAGCAAATCTCTCTTCATGGTGCAAGAAAAAAACATTTAAATGTATATAAAAGTGATTTCTAAGTCTAAAACTAGAAAATAAATTAAAACAGTTAATATTTGCTCCTCTTTTAAAATTTTTGCAAAAAAAAAAAATGTTTTTATGCATAATACATAATACATTTGATAATTATGTATGCTTTGTGTTTTTTTTCTGTACATACTGGTTCTTGTTAATAAAAAATAAAAATAAAACATATGTTAATGCTTCCAGATTTAAAAGAGTACCCAAGCAATGGCTAAAGCAACAATAATTAGAGGGTCCATCAAATGGCATAACATATTTTCAGATGATAAATCTTTGGCGGCCAACAATTTGGTACATCTCTAATATGAATACACTTCTAGATTCTCATTGTTGCACATTTCTGCTGTGTGATTGGCTCTTGGATCAATATTGAGTAATAAAGAGCTTAAGAGCTTGTCATTGTTATTACATCCATTTTATTGTAACTCAATATAATATCGTTTATCGGCCTAGTTCTACTTCTTTAGCAAGAATTTTTGTTTTGTGTGTTAAAAGACATCTAGACATCCAGGCTAAAACTAAGCTAGGTCTAACAATAGCTCAAAAATAGACTAATAAATCGACAGGAATAAATGACTACACGTGACGTCTCTCTAATCTTTCTATTTAATGACACCTATTTTTGCACTATTTTTAGACATCTTTAAAATTTTCACTAACAGCCCAAATCTAGCCTTGTTTTAGCCATACATCAGTGTTTGGACATCTATTACATGTCTTTTAAACACAAAATTGCTTGGTGGGTTCCATCATTTGTCATTCGCACAGCTCCTGTGCACTCGTCAAGGATGACAAGCAGCCTTTTTGTAAATGGTGTTATTATTAAACCATAGTGATGTGCCACAGCTAGAGTGCCTGGAGAGAAACCAAGCTTGCTGTTTGCTTCGGAGTGTTTATAGAGAGTCACAGAGAAATTGGCTGGGCAGAGGAGATAAATTACAAAGGTGGGGTGCAAACTAACTGGGTATCTGTGCATGTGCAACTACTGGTATCCATACGGTAGATCAAAATCACAAAAGAGACTGCACTATATTATTAATAAATACACTCCAAATAATCAATGTGAGCACTTCACAAAATGCTTCTCATGCTATTTGAAGTCTTTACTTTTAATGTAACTAATAGTGATTTAATAACTTCAAAACAAGTCAGTGTCATTTAAACTGCAGGCTGAAAGGAAATAGCAGAACAATGTGGAGAAATGACTCAGTGTGATTCAGGCTTTAGGGATAACAGCAGACAACATTTGAGAAACAAAAACCAGAGGTTCATTTCCCAAAAGTATCATTAGCCATAGTCAACATAGTTCAGTCATATACAATTAGCTAATAATACCGTTTCAAAACGCAATTGCTATTCGATCCTACCTCATCATTTTCTTTGGAATATGTTTAAGTTCATGACCACTTTCATATTTCTAAGGTTTCAATAATTAATTGCAATTCATATTAGGAATTGTTCCAATATTTAATAAAACCTTTATAAATTTGATATTTCAATGCATGGCAAATCTTATTTCCTCACTTATGTTTTGTTGTATTCATGTATCACTGTCTCTTTGGTTAAAAGGTTCAAATATTACTTAACTGTTCAACTGATGTTTTTCTTTTTTCCAAAAAAAGAGAAAAAGTCTTAATAAAAAGTAAAAAAAAAATATATATTTTTTGTATATTTTAATCATGATAACAAAAGCCACTAAATGTCACTATAATAAAGATCATTATTGTAATATGGACATAGTAACATCTGATAATCTTTCTGTAAAGCTGCTTTGAAATGTACAAATAGACTTGGATTGAATCAAACTGAAGTGAATAGAGGTTTAAAGATACACTAGAGTAAGTAAATGATGACGGAGTTTAATTCTTTTTGATGAAAAACACTTTAAGAACACAGTAAAGCAGTCAACTGAAAATGAAATGAGTGTAGTTAAATTACAAATTACCTGAAAAATAATTCTACTCATTTGAAAAGAGTTTTGAACTCAGTTTTGAAGGTAATGAATTAATTAAATATCTCATTACTTCAACTTAAATGGAGAAAAATTACAGTACTCATATAGATTCGTTTTTTAACTCAGTTTGTAGCAATTGGTTTCATCAAGCGGTTAAAGTTGCCTTAACTTATTGAGTTTTACAGAACTCAGTTGGTTTGAGTTCTCTTCATTAATTGGGTTTTACTGTGCTCAAATTGCTTCATTTACCTAAATAGATTAGGTTCACAGTACTCATTAGGATTTTTTTTTTACTTAAATGGTTTGTTGTAATCGGTTTCCTCAAATGGTTTGAGTTACCTTAACTTTTTGAGTTTTACAGTGAAGGTACCACTGCATCATTTAAATTATACAAATCCGAAAGAAAATGTGCTCTAGCTGACACAGACATGTTAATTAAACTCTATTTGTTTTTTACTAAAGTATTTTCTTTACACTGGCTGTCTGTTAAGTTCCATATTGATTAAAAATAAAGCTACACGATGTTGGAAAGTTTCACTTTGCTATAGTTATACATTGCAATGACTCATATATTCTCACCTATAACTATAAAAACTTAAAACTGCATTTCATGAGAAGTGATTATTGCCGACACACACATTGCGATATTGATGCTGAAACAATACATCCAGGCACGCCCTCTCAATTTAAAACTACTCACTGCTGTTTACTCAGTGTAACCACAGATACAGGAACACTGGAGCGTTTTAAAGCTGCGATTCATCAGCGAATCACTCATCTGTCAGTTTATAGAATAACCAGCTGATGGACGTGACTTTGAAAAACTCCAGTGTAGCTGTATCAGTGTTTACACTCAGTAAACATTGGTGAGTTCGGTGAACTCATGACCTTCACAGTGCTCAAATGTAAGCGGGAAATGGACGTTTTTGAAATTTCAGTATCGATTGTTACCGAATTCCAGTATCGTGACAACCCTAATATACAGAATAGATCACATAATTTAGCATACAGATAAATGCATGTTTTCAAATGCTTCCTTCACGCTGACATTAATATGTCTTATCTCTGAGCAGCTATGCTAATTCTCTTTCCTTCGCTCTATGTTTCCACCAGGGAATGCCATTTCCGAGGCCTCTAGAGATTGTGCAGAGCTGCTTAATCAGATCCAAAACTTGAGAAGAGATGATGCCAACCCTATGAGGACTTCAAAGACAACACAAACACTTAATACACTTTATTGAACATGTATTATACACATCGACATTTTGGAAATACACCACATACTGTACATTTAATATAAAATGAAATAGTGACAAAACTGAAGCCCTTCTCCTTGGGACTACAAGTGTTTTGAAGAAAGTGGATAATTTTACAATAGACATTGATAATAGCACAATTTTCCCTCTGTGCAGGTAGTTTGGGTGTCATCTTGGATAGCACACACTCATTTGAAGGCCACATCAATAATATTACACATACTGCATATTTCCACCTGTGTAATATAACTCGTCTCCGCTAGGCATGGGATGATAACCGTTTTCAAAGTACATCGCGGTTTGGAAAAGTCAAGGTTTTAAAACCGCCTAAATCTTCTACTATACTGTTCCTAAAGTGTGTGTTAGATTTTTTATTGACTTTTTTTTTAAGACAACAGTATCTCCAGCAGAAAAGATTTCCAAAATACTGTTTTAAATG